GTCTACATTTAATCAATAAGAGACAGTATTACAAATATCTTTTGATTGAATACATTTAGATTTAATTGATGGAAATGGAAAGTTATAAAATGTACATTAAGCAAAATACAATTGAATATTACGAAAGATTTATGCATACATTATTCCGTTTTTGTGTAATTCCATTTATTATTACATTCAATTATATTTATATATATTTATGTATTCATTTATTTTTATGCATACATTATTCCACATTTTATAATTATATTTATCTTACGTTCAATTATATTTATATATTTATATATTCATGTACTGGTATCTGTGTGTGCGTGTGTTCCGGAGAGGGAAATTGGAATCTTTGTGGTGAGGTAGCGGTCTGGAGGAGAGGGGGGAAGGAATTCACAGAGTTCACAGAACTCGTTCAGGAATTCCTTACTGAAAGAATTGGCGTATAGAAAATCTGAGTCGTGGCGTTCAGGAAAAAGTGTACTGAAATCTGGGGGTGACCCAACCTCAGATGGTCGAATCGGAGAAAAATGGAGGAGAAATACCGGATGAGTAAAGTTTCGTGTCGGAACAACTCGTGGTTTCATCCGTTCGTTTTGAAACCTTGGATGTCCTTGCTAAGGGCCTGTTTGACGAGCTCGCTTATTGCGACGATAGCGTAGTTTCTTCAGGGCCCGCCTTCGTCTTTGCACATTGGAAAGAGAGGATGATGTCAATTTTATTGAAAGAAATGAATGAGTGAAAGAAATCGTTGGAGTGCGAGAGAGGTATTGTTGGCCGTAAACCCTAAGGCTATCTCCAAAATATGTCGGGAAGCCGAGAAATCTGACGGGGAAAAGAGGTAAAAAAGAGAAAGAGAAAATGCAGAAAAGTAGATTTTCCGAATTATTTAATGGTCATGAACCTGCTGAGTGCTCCACAATGTTTGAGAGTCTGAGAGGTTCGACGGCCAAAGCAATGAAAAGAAGCAAATTTTGCCAAATTATTCGGCGGCCATGAACCTGTTGAGTGCTCCGCAATGCTTAGGGAGCCCGACAGGTCTGACGACTGAAGCAAAGAGAAAAGAAGCAGATTTTGTCAAATTATTCGGCGGCCATAGACCTGCTAAGTGTTCCACAATGTTTGAGAGCCCGAGAGATCTAATGGCCAATGCAGGGAAAAAGAAAGAGAAAAGGGAGAAGAAATGTAAGGAAAAAAGGCAGAGGATAGAAAGGAGGGAGAAATAAGGGAGAAATAATAAAATATAAGAAGAGACCCAAAAATTATTATTGGAGAACTACGTGTAA